ATTGAAGTTATTAGTATTTTATTGCTACTAATCTTTAAAATTTCATATAAGTAATGAAATTCATTAAGATAAAAGATTCGTTAAAGATCCACTAAAAAGTAATGGATACAGATACGAATACGGATCTATTTTTTCCCCCTCGGATATCCGTGGATATGGATATGGATATCTGGCACATCACTAGTATATAGTGCCCTTGAATTGGAACACGGAACTATAGGAAGTCCAAAATAAATTAAGCCCGAAGAAGAGCATACAGAGCATATACAGGAGGGGCATTGAAAATGTTCACAGTTTTTGAAGATTTTCACGCTGGTTATTGGTTGGTTGTGAGTTGTTGTGTATATTTAGTTGAGACAAAAAGGTACAAGTTTATGCATGAAACATAACTTTATTTCTTACAGTGTACACATTAAACTTAACTATTTATTATTTATAAGTGTTTGAAGTGTCCTGTCACACACATCTTATCTACCTTCACAATGATTCTCTAACCCACTTAAAAAGATCAGGCATTTTACACATGGTGTCACGGATAGCTGTAATGTATTTAAGTGTATACTTTAAATTAAGGAATGAAGTTATGTTTCATGCATACACTAGTAAATTTTTGTATCTTAGTTAAGGCATGTTGGTGTGGAAATGATGAAATCTTTACAGGCAATATCTTGAAAATATATGGTATTATGATTCCTGTAGTTTATAATTTTTTTTATATTTTGTGATGGGGGAATTCATTGGTCAAGTTTCATATAACAATCTTGAATCATGCTGTATAAATACAGATACATCGAATTAACCTTGTATAGCATTGCAGTTAATTTTAGAAATGTAACTGTAAAATTGGAGGCTAAATCAAACTCGGATCGCACCAGAAAAAAGTTTTATAGAACACCTGAAGAAGGTCTTAGGATGGATCAAAAACATTAGTGTTAAGTTTCTAAAATTAACTGCAAAGCCATACAAGGTTAATGTGACATATTTGTAATTATTATTGCTTTGTTTGTTGGATGGATTTCATCCTGTATAATTATATAAAAGCCAAACAATTATCAGATTAAATTGGGCTCTATTACCACTATTATTTATAATTAAATACTGAGTAATATATATATATACACACACACACACACCTCATTTTCCATGTCATTGGAGAAAACATACTGCTAACTTGACAACCTTCACCTTCTATTAGTCTGAGTTAATGGGTGTTTACTGTATTTATGAATGTCAATAACTACATTTTTTAGTTTATTTTATAAATAAAATGCTGCTTTTGATTTTATAAAGAAAAAAATATTGTTATTCTTTTATGTGAAGAGCTATTATATGTACAATTTTTGAACTGACTTTGAACTCATCCCTCTTTATCCTGTATAATGATGTA